CTATTCCCTGCTCACTACTCACTACTTACTACAAACTACTCACTACTCGCTACCCACTAGCCAACACTCAGTACTCACTAAACAGAACCCATTACCCACTACTCACTAATCACAAATCACCACTCACTACCCACTAACCAACCCACTACTCACTACTCACACTTCACTACTGATTGCCCACAACAACCTACTCACTACCCACTACTCGCTACTCGCTACTCCCTACTCCCTACACGGTACTCATTACTCACTTCTCGCTGCTCCCTACGCCCTACTCGCTACCCAATACGCACTGTTCACCTTCCGCCACTCACTACTCACTACGCCCCCACTACTCACTACTCACTACTTCCTACTCCCTACTCCCAACTCACTACCCACCACTCACTACCCAGTACTCAATACTCATTACTCACTAGAACACTACTCACTGCCCACTACACACTACTCACTAAGCACTACTCACTACCCACTAACCACTACTTACTACTGAGTACTCACAATTCACTACTCACTACGCACTGCCCACAACTCAGTACTCACTATCCGCTACTCGATTCCCCATACGAACTATCTATTCACTACCCACTACGCACAGCTCGCTACTCACTACTCACTACTCCCTCCTCCTTACTCACTAGTCACTAGTCGCAAATCGCTACTAATTACTCACTACTCACTACTCACGACCCTCTACCTCGCTGCTCACAAATTTATACTCGCGACTCCCTACTCAGTACCACTACGCAATACCCACTTCTCGCTTCTCCCAACTCACTACTCACTACTCCCTACTCACTACTCACTACTCACTACGCACTGCCCACTACTTGCTACTCCCTACCCGCTACGCACTACTCCGTAGCCACTACTCACTACTGGCTCCTGACCACTCCCTCCTCACTACTCACTACTCACAACGCCCTACTCGCTACTCACTACTCACTACTCACTACTCGCTGCTCCCTACTCGCTACTCCCTACTCGCTACTCGCTACTCGCTACCCACTACTTACTACCCACTACTCTCTACTCACTGCGCACTACTCACTTCTCACTATTCACTCCTCGCTATTCGCTACTGTCTACTCCCTCATCCCTAGTCCCTGCTTACTACTCACCATGCACTACTCACTGCACACTACTCACTCCTCACTACTCCAATTCCTTACTCACTACGTCCTTCCCGCTACTCAATACCCACTACTCACTACTCACTACTCTCTACGCACTACTCACTACTACCACTACCCATTACCTACTACTCACTACTCACGACTCACTGCGCACTACTCACTATGAAATACCCACTACTACCAATCGCTACTCAAAACACTCTACTCTCTACTCACTACCCGAAAAGCCCCCTCCCCAGCCCCCTGTTCGGCGCAAAGGGGGGGAGGGAGGGGGGTTCGAACCCCTCCACGCCCTTCCAGCGCCAAGGGGGGGAGGGGGGGGGGGGTCCGGACCCCCCCCCTTCAGGGGGGTGGGGGGTTGGAACCCCCCGCCCTTAAGGGGGGAGGGGGGGGGTCGAAAATCTCACCCCCCCTTTGAATGGGGGGAAGGGGGAAGGGGGTTCTGCGAGCACACCCCCGGTGTATTCAGGGACATCCACTGGCGCGCTTTCCCTACGATGAGCAGGGCAACGAGGATGAGGACAAAGAGAAGCAGGAGGAACATGTCATTGCACCAGCCTTGCAGACGTGCTGCAGCGGATTTCTGCGTGGATTTTTGCCCGAAACGGCGAGCGAAAAAAAAAGTGCATTTCGCGTGGATGCTGTTTGGTCTTCTTTCCTGGCCAAAAAAATCCGCGCGACATTCACCTCGAAATCCCCAACGAAATTATCCAGGACACTCCGGGCCCATCCGATCGTTTTCCGAACGAAATCCGCTCTGCGATGTTGGCGCCATGAAAAAAGGCAAGGAGGACAGGAACGAGGCCCAGGAGCAGGATGAGGAGGAAGAGGAGGAGAAATGGGAGAAGGCTGAGAAGGCAGGACGATGAGGAGCCGTGAGCCATGTGATCACACGCGTCTCGTTTTGCCTTAAAACTGGTGGCCAGATATAGCGAATGGGCTTGGGACCCTGGCGGCTGACACTGCGACTGGGCCATCGTAGAAAGTAAGAGAGGAAGTGATACGGACAACTCCTCTGGGTGTCCCCACAGATGTATAACAGCCTTCACCTTCTTCCTTTCATGGAGTCTCCCATTTCCAACTCCGATTCGCACCGAATGCGCGCGAGACGCATTCGTGCCCAGGGTCCTCCGAGAGTAGCTCGCCCCGGGAGGGATGCAACCAATGCAGGAAGGGCAGCCGTGGACACCATGAATCGGACTGGTAGTGGTGATGCCATGTTCTTGTTGGCTCCCTGCGCGGCGCATTCACGCAGTCTTGACGTGAACGCCCGTCCTGTCAGGTGCGCCATCTCGCGGCAAGACCCTGCCAAACGTCCACCACGAGCGTGGACTGCATGTCGCATCTCTGAACATCGGGCCCGTCTGCTCCCGCCGTGCCCTGGGCACCTCACCGACGACTGGCAGAAGGCGACATCCGCGAGGCACTGGGCAGACCCTAAGGCCGACGCGAGCAGCCCGCAGTCGGTTCGGCCTCCCAGGGGGAGCGTCGGAAGGCCGCTTCGGTTCGAGCGCATGCACGCCACTACGGGTCCAAGCCCAATCTAGCTTGCTGGGCAAATCGCAGAAGTTTCCGAAGACGCCACCTCTGCGGAGCAGCACTCGTCTGCAAGAAACTCTCCGGGGCCCTACGTCGGAGGTGGCAAGGAGTGGGGCCACGGTGAGGGCATTGGATAAGCAAACCTTCGACAAGAAATCCAGGGTCTGAAGCCATTGGAAAGCCAATCGTGGATTGGCCATGGACATCACCGCCGCCCTCATTTGTCTGAAGCCTCCTGGGCACGTTCCTTCAAGAACGCCCCCACCGTACTGCACTTCACCAGCAGGGGCGGCCGAATAGGTCCCCAGAACGTGGCACAAAGGCCCAAAACCACTCAGGCCGAATGATGGCGGTGTGGGAACCACTATCGGAACCTCTGGAACAGGTGATATGCAAGGGGGCGCTGAGGGCACAAAAACTCCAACGTTCCCAATGAACGAAGTTGCGACTGGGGAAAAGTTCTTCCAGGCTGGCTCGCACGAAGCCAGCCCCCTCCTGGACTCTCAGCAGCCCCCCCCCCCCGCAGGGGGATCCGAAAGCAGGGGGGAAGCCGGAGCAGCGGATATTCGGCAGGTTGGATCGCGTCGGGTCGAGATCGCTATGCGATGTCATCCTAGAACAGCCCCCCTCCGACTGGACCTCCTCTTCGTCTCATTGTTCTCCCTTCCCTTGTCCTTGTCGCCCTTCTGGTCCACTTCCTCCTCCTTCTCCTCGTCATCCTCCCCCTCCTCTTCCTCCTCCTCCTCGTCCTCCTTCTCCTCCTCCTCCTCCTCCTTCTCCTCCTCCTCCTCCTCCTCCTCATCATCATCACCACCATCCGCATCTTCCACTTCCGCTCGGTATTCCTCGTCCTCGTCCCATCCTCTCCTCTTCGTTCTCTTCCTATTCATCCCTGTCATCCTCTCCCTCCTCTCCCTGGTATTGTTTTCGTTTTCTTCGTCATCGTCCCCGTCCCCCTCTTCCTCCTCCACCTCCTCCTCCTCCGCCCCCTCCCTCCCCTGCCCTCCCCTCCCCCTCCCCTCCCCTGCTAAGGAGTTGTCCCCGAACTCCTCTATGTCGTAAGGCACCTCCGAAAACACAAAGACCTCGGAATCCTCAATCTCCTCCTGCACGAAAACGATCGTACTGTGTATCTCGACGCTGCCAAGCACCAGACTCGTATGGCCAAGCAAACTACAGCAGCACCGAACGCACACGCGAGAAGAAAGAGGATGTTGTCTCTGTCTGTTCTCTCGCTAGATGCACTCAGTTAGAAAGGGGGAAGAACTGCGCCGCTTGAGCCTAGGAGGCTATGACACGAGGGTCTCCGAAGCTGCTGTGCTCACAATTCTGACCTACGCATGCCTTGCCTTGCAAGCCTCTCGGCCTGACAACTGATCTATCAACTCGGCTCTGGACGCGCAGGTCTCTGACCTCAGCATGCGGAAAACAGTTTAACTACTGCCTGCTGAAACAAAACCGTGCGCACTGAACAAGCGTGCAACACAACTGCAAAGAGACAGCGTCAGAAACACACGAGCTGCGACTCCATGCCCTGGCCGCAAGAGAAAACATCCCTCACAGGTGAAGCCGCCAAGCCTCATGGTG